TTTACACCTTTTCTTCACCTTTAAATCAAAATGGCGTCATTTCCGGTGACAGTAATAGTGTCAAAATGGTTTGACCTAGTCAAAAGTGGCATTAGGCATCAAATGCTGAAAGAAAATTGAAAATCAGATAATACTTGATGCTTTTACAGGCAAAATACCGTGAAAAGTGACTCCTGCAAAATTGTCTATTTCTTGGCAACTGCCGATATTAGAAACTAATTTTGACATACATTTTCTTTGTATAGGAGGTTATTGCTACATGTTTATGAAAGTTACAAAGAAATATGCGACCCCTCATAGCATACTGAGAGTCACAATGAGAAAATTTTGAAAATTGAGTTATTGTTATTTTCACACTCTCCATCTCACTCTGAGAACTGCTAAAGGGTGAATCTGTGCACAGCCACCATATATTTCTCAGTCATGGTTGTTATTTGTACGTGTATCGAAAGAAAATTAATTTTCCGACTACTACTCGGTATTACCGCGTTAAAAGTGTAAATAAGGTGTGTTAATTAACAAGGGTGGAAAAACTGTCTGAGAGGTGAGTTAATTAACACTAGGGGTGAAAAACTCTGCGACAGTGCGTTTTCAGTAGAGGTGTGTTAATTAACCGACCGGTAAAAAATGAATGTCAATGTTGTGTATTGTTTAATTGGCGTGTTTTCTCGCTAGTTGCGATAACTGCATCAAAAGGAGAATAATCATGGGCCAACAGGTTTTATCTGAACCGTACGTGTTAAATCAAAATTTGGGAATTAAAACTGTTTTACCGTGCGATTTATCATTCGACAGTGTGTTTTACGCAGGTCTTTGTATAATTAAAGACAGGTCTTTAGACAGGCGTGTATGCTCGCTATGATCTACGTTTCTCTTATGTGTCTTTTGTATTGCGTACAATATATATAAAGTTGAATTTAATGAAATAAAAATACGGACCTTAATCTATCGTATACGGAAAGGCGAATGTAATGTCGTCATTTATAAATACCCAGCAGTCAGCGCCCAATTTGAATATCCACGGGAATATAGAGAGTAAATCCAGCAAAAACAACAGAAATATATTTCTGCTTTATTACTAAAAAGACGCGCACTCACCGTTTGACATTTATTAAATTTATAAAAACGTGCCACGTTGCGTAAATTGTGCATCTTACCTTCAATAGCAATATCCATAAAACAGAAATCTCCATATTGATAAATAATACGGCACAACCAACCGAACAGTGATAATTTCCACACAAATGATATATTTAAACTAAAATTACTTTAGCTTTTCACTAAATTTACATCACATACAATCCAATGATCCTCATTCCAGAACTTGTAATTTATAATATATTTAAACTAAAATTGCTTTAGCTTTTCACTACATTTACATCACATACAATCCAACGATCCTCATTCCAGAACTTGTAATTTATAATAGCCGCTTATATGCAATTACAGAATTGTCCCGTGATCTAACATATCAAAGAAGCACATACGCCCGATATGACTCGTAATCATTTTTGGAGACACGTTTTCTATTCTTACGACTATACTTGGCGTTTATGCTGCGTACCATATAGTCACGCTACTTATAAAGTTGCATTTAATAAAATAAAAATATTGACCTTAATCTATCGCACGAAATGCAATGTCGTCATTTATCAAAAATATAGGAAAGATTTAAGAATACCGTACTCTTACAAAACGTTCAAAGACAGGTGTTTTAAAATGTTTTATTGCTATTTTGACCTTTTGTGTCGACAGATAGTATATAATTATAGACTCATTTTTGTGAAAATCTCAATTTTGATCAAAATCAATATTTTCACTTATTTTGTCTTTTTCTCATTATTGATTCGAGCGCTTTCTGACTCATTTAGCTGTGGCCAGTCACATATATCAAAATATGAAGACGCTGGATGGGTTGTAAATAGCCTATTTTTACACCTTTTTATACGCCCACATTTTCATGTGGACGTATATTGTCGTAGCCCCGTCCGTCCCACAATTGTTTGTGAACACTCTACAGGTCACAAATTTTATCCGATTTCAATGAAATTTGAAATAAAGGTTTATCAGCATCAATCTTGGTTCCTTTCGATATTGGCATGTATGGGACTGTAACTTCATGGATTATGGCCCCTGATTGTACGTAAAATCACGTTTTTAGCTTGTGAACACTGTAGAGGTCGCAATTTTTTTTATCCGATTTCTTTTAAATTTGAAATTTATGTTTATAACCCACAGTCCTCGGTTCCTTTCGATATTCGCGCATATCAGACCATAACTTCCTGAATTATGACCCCTGATTGCAGTCTGCGACATTAGCGCTTGTCCGATTGCCCGGGACAAGTAAAATTTACGGCGAACAAGTAAAACTTTCATTGGGACTTGCCCGCCGGTACAGTACTGTTTTTTAATAGAATGAGATACAAATAATGTACAATGAGGAAGATGACACGCGAAAATTTCGCTAAAAAAAATTAAAAATATCCATTTCCCCGTTGCTCACACTGTTAAAGTTTGGGGTTCGGTAAAAGATCGAGGAAACGCGGTGGAGCGCAGTTTCTACTCCAAGGGAGACAATTCCATTTAATACTTGCCTACTTCCGCTTTGACATTTATGACCTTGGAAATGTGACCTTTGTTGATGGTTTTCCTTGACTTTCGTTTTTCTGTTGTTGTTTGTCTTTCACTCTTTGTCGTCGGGAGATGTTAAGATGGGTGGAAGGGGCACAGCCTGGCAAGACATTGAATAATAAGAAACGCGGATCCGGTGACGATGTTACTCAAGTAGTAGCAGAATCAAAGCGCAGGTATGAAACAGTGTCACATAAACGTGAATTTAAACAAAATTGGCTAATTGGGAGGCCCTGGTTAAATGTGAACCAGAGGGAGAATGTCTCAGAATTATTCTGTTTCTATGACCTGTTCCTACTGCATCAAAACGAATAAAAATAACCGATTTGTGGATGCGATCACTGGAAACTTTAGGATTGTAAAGGCTGAACATTTTATCTTAATGAATAACAAAATATATGATCTAATAAAAATTGTGTTTTGTTCTTTTTTATTTCAATTGACCATTTCCATGTGACTGCTGACGGTACAGTAAAAAAATTTTGGGGTAAGTAAATGTTGTCATTGTACTTGCCCGCAGGGCAAGTGAGTTTGAAAGTTAATGGTGCAGACTGTGATTGTACGAAAAATCACGTTTTTAGCTTGTGGACCCTATAGAGGTCACAATTTTTATCAGATTTAAAAAAAACGTTTGAATATATCACCGTTACACCCTAAGGATGTTTGACTTCGAATTTCGTAAAAATCTGACCGAAAGTGACGGAGAAAATGGCCGCCCCTCATTCGCAAATAGTGTCAAAATATTAGGTATCAGGGTTGTCGACCCTCTGGAGGTGACAGTTTTCATCTGATTTTAATGAAACTTGAAATGCATGTTTATAACCCAAATATCTTGGTTCCTTTTCATTTTCGTACATATTGAATCGTAACTTCCTGAATTATGGCCCCTGATTGTACGAAAAATCGCGTTTTTAGCTTGTGGTCCCTCTGGAGTTCACAATTATTATCCGATTTAAAAAAACGTTCGAATATATCACCATTACACCGTAATTTTGTCTGAAATTAAATTTCATGAAAATAGGACCAAAACTGCCCGACAAAATGACCGCCCCTCGTATGCGAATAGTGTAAACATCTGGTATATCAAAGTTGTGGCCACAATTTTGATCTGATTTTGATGAAACTTGAAATGAAAAAGATTTGTCCGAGATTGAAAATCACCCGGACGCAATCTAGGGGTGTGAAAGACTAAGGAAATTTGCACAAAGACCCCAGAGGTAGTAACGTCACATGCTTGTGTAAATACTAATGATGTTAAGACTGTGTCGATTGGTATACAGTGTGGTAGATTGACCTACCAAAAATGACATTTGAGGACATTGCAGTTAATTGATAGTGAAACCAGATTCTATACAGGATTTGTGTCTTTTAAAGTAATCTGGATGTTTTATTTGACATTATTAAAACTTGGTGCCGATAAACTGAATTACTTGGAAGGGGAAGCGAGGTCAATGGGGGATAAGACATACCATGAACCAGGCATTAGAAAACCTGATAGGAAACGTTCTCTTCGACCGGCGGACGAGTTTTTGATGGTGTGTATGCGTTTTAGATTAGATTATAACATGGCCAACTAGAGAGCAAATTATGGCTAATTTACCAAGACTGTTTTCATTGCACTCTGATACCCGAATTGTCCTGGACTGCACAGAATTTTATATGGAGAAAACATCATCTCTGAAGGCCCAGTGGATGACATGGTCAGAATATAAAGCACTCCAACACATTAAAAGTTTTAATTGGGGTGTCACCAAGTGGAAAGGTTACATACATTTCAAGACTCTGGGGTGGAAACGTGTCTGACCATCATATAGCACACCATGATGGGTTTTTGCCAAGGCTTCTAACAGGAGATGTCTTAATGGCTGACAAAGGCTACACAATTGAAGATTTGCTACCCACTGATGTTGGTTTAAATGTTCCTCCCCGGGTGTCAACTAAGTGTCAAATGTCATCAAATGAATTTTTTAAAACAAACAGAATTGCCTCAGCTCGAGAGAGAGAGAGAAATGGGGTTTAACGTCCACTCGACACAAACTAGGTCAATTCGGGACCAACATATGGTTTAATTTTTATTTCAATAATTTGCTTGCGCATACGGGTCTTTAGCAGCGGGAGTAAACCTGAGGACCGGGAGAAAACCCAGGCAACTCTACTCCTTGTCACGTACAACCAGGGATTCGAAACCACGCCAGTTGACTTAATGACAGGCCTCGTGATGCAGCGCGCGCGTGCTAGCCATACGGCCATCCAACCCCCCGCCTCAGCTCGAATGGTGGTTGAAATGAAAATGGAACAAATAAAAAACTATAGAATTCTCAACTCATGCTTTCCCATATCTGAGCAAATTGTTCTTATAAGTGCTGCACTCACAAATTTACTCCCCCACTATAAAAATAAAACACCAGAAAATAATTAAAAACTACAAATGTGTTTGTATTTCTTCTTTTTAATATCATTCAAGACATAAATAACAATTTTCCCCTTTGCACTCTTCTTGAAAAAAATTCTGGAATAATGCTAGCAAGATAAAAGTTTTTAAGTTGAATGTACATCATGTCCCAAGTTGATGGAGAAAATCTAATTCGCTCAACATTGATGTCTTTCTTTGTGTATACAACAAAGTCTACCAAAGACAGTTCATACACAGCCATTTGTCCTTGTACTTGAAACATATAATTGTGTGATTCCTGTTAACTTGCCATTTAATATTTTACAAAAGAAATTCTTGTCCATAGCACAGTCGATCCGGGGCATATTTCTCCAGGGAATATCGGTTGTGTCACTCCCATATGGACACTTTATTTCAACTAGGCCTGTGCCACACTTGGGGCAAGTAACAAGTCTGTCAATACTAGCACCTAGAAAAGGGTATTTTGCATTTACTAAACGGCCACAAGTTTCATCTGTCTGCAGATGACTTTGCATGTACTTGGCCAATGCAACTAATTTATTTGCATTTCCATATGTAATACTCTTGACATATTTTGGGACATCAGTATAACCACAAATTTTTTTCAATAAATTGTCTGGTGCAACTTTAGTCCTACGACACACTTCCCCCATCACAGATGCTGTTATTAGGCAAGTCCTAGCCTTCAGCCAGTTTTGATTTGCATAGGTCTGAAGTCAAATTAATGTTGTCCAAGAATGACCGAAAGACATCAGTACACATATCTGATTTCAAGTCAACACTGTCCACATTCATGAAAGGTGGTTGATATGTAGACAAAAATGAGCCTATTTTGAAATCATCACCTCTCAATGTCTGGTATATGACTGCTTGAGGTTGAACATCCTTAAGACAATCTAAAATATCGTCTAAAAATGAGCAATCTTTATGTGGTTCTGCATTGTAGATACCTGGGTATGGCTTCACCTTTTCAACAATCTTATCCTTTTCAGTCTTCACAAAGTTTATATCGTAAACCCTTTTTGAACTTGGTTTTCTTTGTAATGGTCTTGGTCTGTCCCATGTACACTCATTTGATGTGCATGCATTTTTGGTCTAATGAGCACATAGTCCTGCACTTCCTGCCTTACAGTTGCACTTTGCACTTATAATATGACCTGTCTTTGGAATAATACACACATGCAATGTATAAAATTTAGCTGTATTTCCACAATTCCCAATTTGAACAGTTTGCCTCATAGATGGCAAACACTTGGCCTGGATATAACAATATCCCGCCTCATCATGTACCTTATTAAATTCAGTATCTCGAACAAAGCCTTCATTGCATAACCGCTTTGCTTTCTTTAATTGTCAGCAGAACAGTAGGACGTTAAACCCCATTTCATTTCATTTCATTTCTTTAACTGTCTCTCAAATTTTAACCGTTCACCAGTGACTGCCATGGATTCTTGTGGTAAATGAAGTAGCTATCTACACCTTTGCTGGAAACTGCAGGTATGTCTGAGCTGTCTAATGGTTTCCATGGGTTTGAGACTTGAAAAATTGGGGTAACTTTCAAGTCGTCAAATTCGTCACTAGAAGCATCACTTGACGAATACAAGTTATCATACTTTGTCATATAGTTAAAAACTCTCTTTATAATATTACCAGACTTCTTGAGGTTATATTTATCAAGCCATGCCTTTAATTCTGCAACTTTCCATGATTTCAGTTCATGAATAGATAACGAAAATTCAGGTTCTATTTCAGAGACTGTCACAATCAGGATTGGTTAATTTACTGAAATTTAAAATAAAGTAATTGTCAGAAAAAGTTAGTCCCATTGCATTGTGGCATCTATATTATGCATCCGTGATTATAATGGGAAAATTCATTATTTTATTCTAGCGGGAAAAGAATTCCATCGTAGACCCAGTTCTCTTTTGTTTGTTTACTCACTGACCACATACCCGGTGAGTTGCCGGCAGGGTATAAAAAAAGTACACAGGTATTCAACATTATCTAGGGAAAGTACACCCATTAGGCATCAAAATTATCAAAAAATGAAAATCACCTATAGAGGGCTTTTTCCATGGTGAGCCAATAACTATTTTCTTAAATTTTTACAAGGCTAGCACATGAAACACGCTCATTATTTTTGTCGCATTTGAGAGACAAGAAGGTTTCGGAGCAAAACATGTTAAATGATCATTTTTTTTTTCAACTGTAGTTATATTAGGTCATTTATACGACCATTTCGTTCAACAATTCTCATGTCATTCGCAAAAAATCACTCATTCAATTTTCGTAAACATTTTGATATCAAATATGATGAGAGCAATAAACAATTATTTTTGTACATTCTAGTAGTTTCGCTGCGTACTTTGTGTGCTTCGTGTCTCGTTTAAATTTGTAGCCCCTGGTCTGTCGTAGTGTCTTAAAGTTCCTGTGAACAGACTCGAAGGACTCTTGACTCCAGTGGCCAGGTCCCTGGGGTGGTGTTCTGCTCTTGGAAACTCTGATTTCTGCGATTTGGTTCAGGCGTTTGTCTCTCCACAAACTGGTCGATATGGTAAAATATAGCATGAACTTTTGCTTGTTACTGGAATACCTAGCTCATTATATGAACTTTCGAAAGATTTTATCGCTTGTTTGGAACCATCATCCAACTTGTTGCCGAAAAAAAAGTCTACCGGACGTTGTTAAAGTCCTTGAGTGCCTGGATCATTTTCTGGCCTTTAACGTCAACAAAGCCACCTGCTTCCATTAGTCCTTTAAGTGCTTTAGTATTGTTTAATTGCTTCCTACTTCGGACACCATCGAAAGGCCCACCATGCATTTCTCAGCAACGAAGGCTCAATGCATCGGCCCATGTGTGCGTTGTGGCGATCGAGAGAATATTGCATCTGGGTGATCATACCGACGGTTGTCTACACTGAGAAGGAGATACAGTTCCATCACCAGAATAAAGTCGATCCGAAAGGTGGTCGACTTCATTCTGGTGATCGAACTGTATCTCCCTCTCGGCGTAGTCAACCGTCCATAGGATCACCAGTTTCTGGAGAGATAAACGCCTGAACCAAATTTCGAAGCCAGACGTCCTAAAGCAGAACACCAGCCCTGGAACTTAGCCAATATAGTGAACAGACCTCACAGGGACTTGAAGGCACTCTGGGAGACTGGGGGCTTCAAACGAGACACGAAACTAACTGAATGAAACTACATGTAATAATTACTTAAAAATAAAGAAAGAAAAGAAATAAATTGTTAAAACTAAAAGCTGTGATGTAGTACATGTACATAGAAGATTCTGAAAGATAATAAATTATATTTTTTTATGTTATACCAGTACTACTAGTTTACACTATTTACAGATGATTCCTCCAATAAAATTTTATACTTCCAGTTTTTATTACTTGAGATTTATAAGTGTTCTTGTCTGCCAGCCGGCCCTACACATATACTTTTGAAATTGACATTTTAGCAACGTCTTCCTCATCCTTGCAATCAAAATTGACTTTAAAAACGTTCCAATTTCCTTCTCGCTACTTCTCCACATAAATACACACATTCGTCTTTTTTCTTTGCTCCGTGGCCTTGCATATACTCTTTCTTCTTTTCTTTGCAGAATTGGTAACTTTTCGCTCTCTTTGATGCTTTTGAGGGTTATCCATGATGAATTGGACAAGATAAAACTCCCAACTTTCATTTTTACACGCAAGATTCACTTTTTGGGCGAATGTACCTGTAACTATAGCAATTGGCTGTGTAAAAATAAACATCCAATCAGATTTCTTTTCTCAAATTATAGTTTACCGCCAACAAGCTGAATTAGTCAAAGCCCTCTATTCATTAAGTTTACAATTGATATAGAATAGTCGCGCTTATCAAGTGGTCAACAAAAAGTTTGACCCAAACCTCTTAAAAATGCTTGTGTCAGGATAAATGGTTTTGACGTTAACGTCCAAACGACTTGTTATTTTGAACTGAAGTTTTCAGACAAGGTAAATACACAATTCTTCTATAAATTTCATACGTACACAGACTTTTATGTCTTAGGCACTATGAAATCCTGGAATACCCCTTTAACATATGTTTTTGTGCTCTCTGCCCTGGAAAACACTCTTAAAACAAATAAAGCTGATCACTGACAACCTATCCAAGCAGGATAGAAAATGCGCACTAGTCTTAGTGGCAGGAAAAAGATCGACGCGCCACCGGAAATAGTACGAGCTAGCTGTCTGTATGTAAACAATAACAGACGGGCATAGCACAAAATTTATTATCACAATAATATCTTTTTGTGCTCTCTGCCTTGGAAGACAATCTTAAAACAAATAATAAACACAATATTGTTGGTGTGAAAATGTCAATTTATTAAATGACGGTTAAAGCACAGGTTCTGAGAGTAATTAAATATAATTAGATTGCATTAAAGATATGTGATTATTAAAAACTATCAAGCAATTACCCGAAGAACCTCATGCTTCTGAGGATCAAATAATCGTTGAGCTAAATCGAAACCCATCTAACCGGCAAGACACAGCTCCAAATGCATCCCGATTGAGCTGTCGTGCCCAACTACAGACAAATCACACCAACCAAATAATAAACAACGAGCAAAATAACGGTAACTTAATTTTTTACTAACATCAGACTGGATATATATATATAGAATAATACACCAAAATATGCTTGACAAAATTGAGAGTATTAAGCCGAACATACTGACATGCAGTCGATACTCAACGATGGACGGCATTTGAAAGTGACATATCGTAGGATTGACATGTTATAATGTAAATGAAACATGGAATAATAACTGACAAGACATGCAACCTATATGCTAAATACATGTAGTTGAAACAAAATATTGCACCAATTTAAAACAGAGACAGTTGAGCGTAATCCTGTCATCGTTAAAACAATTAAAATTTAGATTTAAAGCTGACTAGGATATGATTAAAATTGAATAATAACTAGATAGACATATTAACAACAATGGATTATAAAAGACATGATATAAGGTAAATAAAAACTAACTTATAGGGACAAGACATACAATGTAAGCCCCATTATAACCCATATAAAAACACTAACTAGAATGCAAACGGATATGAAATGGTAACAGTAATTAAAATGCACACGACCAGTGACTGGTATAACCTTAATGACAATTTCAATGTTTGGACACTATGATATTAAACTACTATGACAATACAAATTTGAATACACGATATACATACATGCAAATGAAATGATAAACAATAATTAAAATAGTACACCAATTTATACCACGTGTCACAACCCTGAAATGATATCCCACAAAACATGAAGGCAAAGAGTAAGTCAGTCTAACACTGTGCTAGTCAAAAATTCATGCTTGCTAACAGACTCTAAAATTTTGATAGAGCCAGCCTATCGTGCTTGCCATTGACTTCACACATTAAGACGGCCTCACATTTAGAGAGAACACTTACAAAAGTAAATTAGGTTATCTTATATATGACTGCACAGCATTGCTTTTCCAACGCCCCATCACCTAAATAACATCTTCCGAATAACCTTTCATGAAAGCTGAGGTGGCGGCACCTATCCGAAAGAAATGGAGTTTAAACCTTGTTGTGTCAAGACCCAAAAAGGCAATAAGTCTGTATAGTCGAAAATTGACAAAGGCATAAGATAC